CCCCCCCATGCTTGAACTTTCCTTGACCCCGCATTAGACTCCTAGCAGACAGTAACGTTTGTTGTGGGCTTGGATAAATCTCTTTGATGTATCTTATTTACTAACGACTTCCATTTAAACATGTTAGTATGTCTACTAGTATCTCGTCGAAGGTTCTCGATTGTATTAGAAAAATAAGGGCGTTTCTAGACGCTTCGGTAGACCCACATTAATAAGGGATTGACAGGCACAGAGAGAGATGGAGATTGATAGATATTTTTAACTTCACGAGGCGAGTATTATTCTTTGTGTACTTATATGTGTTACATCACATTCATCATTATTAATTGGCACATTGTAATAATTGTGTACCGGTCCGAGATTTTCCGATGTAAGTTGGTGATTTGTAATAATATTTCTTTTGTTTAGTAATTGTATTATTAAGAAATTAAATCTTATTAATTGTAACTGACAACTGTTTTTGGGTGTCAGATCTTCACTATCGTATTTCTATGGTATCCTCCTTTGTTTAGGCTCTGTTTGAACGAGCCATCAAATGAAACATAAGAGAATACTTTCTCACAACTGAAGGCAGTGCGTAATAGTTACAAATATTGAATAGGGCACTTATCATTGCTTCTCCTCCTTGTTTCACCAACTCGGCAGGGATATTATCCACTCCTGCGGCCTTTCCTGTGTGGAGTACCTGGACTGCTGCTTCTACTTCTGCGTGGAGAATAGGGTAGTTATCATTGTTATTTGCTGGAGGGACATTAATGATCGCTGGGTCTATCTTTATACTTTCATTATACAGCTCATTATAAAGTATTCAGTCCATCATTTTATGATATCATTTTCTTCGGTCAAAAATTCACCATTTTTATCCTGTATGGTAGTCCTACGCCTTTGTTTAGCAGTGGTTAGTTCTTTCACCAACTAGTTAGCTTTTTAGCTATTGTTTTTCTTCAAGCAGTTTTCAATGCCCTAGCATTGCTCTTCAATCCAGTTCTTCTTTGTCCTTTTCATACCTTTTTTGATGGCTTGGTTAACTGTCCTACATTTAATGACCCCCTCTGTATTTACCATTTTTGTTTTCTTTAACGGCCTCCGTTTATCACACTGATTAAGTAGGTCAGCTGTCACCCATGGTTTTTGGGTTGGTCGATGTTTACCAAGGATGTCGTGAGCTGTGTCCGTCACAGCTGTGTTGAAGTTATCAATCAATGTGTCCATGTCTGAACCGTCGGCATCAGATCTATGATGTTAAGCGCTGCAAATTTTCCTCCTAATATTGCTTGGAAGGCTACTGCTACTTTAGTATTCTTCAACTTCTCAAGGTCAAATTTGATTCTGGTATTTCCTTTTTTGTTTACCCTCTTTAAGTGCAGTCTAAAGGTAATCATGACTAGGTCGTGGTCGCTCACGATGTCAGCTCCAGGGAAGCTGCGAGTCTTGGCAATGTTTATACTAGACCGAAAGCGTGTTTGCAACATGATGTAGTCAATCTTGTTGTGGTGTCTCCCATTGGGGCTGTGCCATTTTATGTTCACCCAATGTGTTAGCCAGTATGAGTTCGTTGAAGCTGGCGAATTCTAAGAGCCTCAGACCTCTCTCGTTTGAAGTTGCGTTACAGTACATTTCAATTAGTAAACATTGTTATTATAAAGTGTTACGCACTGGCTTCTATTGTGAGAAATTAATCTCTTGTTTAGAGTTATGGCTCTTTCAAACAGTGTACAACAAAGTACGATACCATAGAGAAATCCAATAGCAAAAATACGACACCCAAAACAGTTGTTAATTGCAATTAATAAGATTTATGTAAGTATTAATATAATTACAAAACAAAATAAATATAATTACAAATCATCAACTTACAGAGTATGGTAGATCTTGCACCGGTACACATTTAGTACAATGTGCCAATTAATAATGTACAATGATGAATGCGAATAAACACGCATACGTACACAAAGAATAATAACACTTGTCTCGTAAAGTTCAAAATATCAATCCGAATCTCTCTCTCAATCTCCGTGAATCTCTGTCCCTGTCAATCCCTAATATATGTAGCGTAAGACGCTTTCAGAAACGACTTAGACTTTGTTTACGTTTCTTGTCCAATTGAGAACGTTCCACAAGATACTAGGAGACAGATTAACCATGTTTAATTGGTAGGCGGCAGTATACACGACAGATCAAAAGATAATAGGCCACGCTCAAAACGAAGGCAGTCCTATCTGGGATCAACCAGAGTTCACAGCATGAGGAAAGTCCTGTATATCAAAAGTAACATTACTAAAAAATTAGAAAGCTTTTGTTCAAAAATTGCACATTGATGTAGTTATGAAACATTCAATATCCAAGTACTTAATATTGACATTTCGATCACGGGTGACCGGGCGATTTTAACTTGATTTTCTTCTCTCACTTTTGTATAAACCGAAGTTATATTTTACGTGCAGTTTTAAATTTATGGATATATTTTGAGAGATATAAATTGCAAGCGTAAATTAAGGATTTTTAAATATTTAAAAATTAGCCCGTGCATCATGTTTCGGTTTGTTCATCACGTGATTTCGGTCCGCCATATTTCGAATCCTGTCAAACTTTTCTGAAGGCCAGTATCACAAAATGATACAAAAAAAAAAAAAGCTCAACATCCCACAATGTTCTTTATTATATTGCAAGTCAAGGAGTGATAATAGCCAGATAAAAACAAGAACAAACGCAGAACTGCTAATGATTTTGTGCATTTTCTCCTGATCGAAAGTTCTCCATTGAAATTTTTTTTTTTCCTGTCAAAACGCAGTCGGACTCAAATTTCATAAAAAAAGTGGAAAAATATATTAATATTAATATACTGTAATATGGGACTTAATAAAAATCTAAAATAAGTATTTAAGCTTACTTTTATAAATTTCTTTTTCCAGCATATCAAGTGTATTTTTTATTATTTATTTTCCATAGGAATAGTTGTTTCAAATTTTCTTTGTGTAAATTGGATACATTAAAAAAGAGTCAGTCAAGGACTATTTGGTCTATGATTTATTCTGGATCAAAAAAAAGAGTCTAATTTTGAATTTTAAAATTATTTTTAATTGAATAATGCATTTACTTTTGTTCATTAAAATTTTTAAAAATAAGATCTAAGCCTATATGCAATGCTAGTATTTTATTTATCCTTTTACAATACAAGACAAGACAAGAAGCACCTTTACCTTTATCACTTTTCAACTTTAATTGACACCAACCAGGCTGGAGATACTTTGTAAATGTACCCAAACAATTGCAGATGAAATGTAATGACAACTTAGCCAATTTGAATTTAAAGCTGGAATTTTCGGCTGATAAAAATAATTTCTAAAACGCACCCACAAGCCCCACTTATTTGAACTGAAACTTGATCAAAATGGGTTTAATGCATGACTGGATTATGGAAATAATACATTATTATAATTTGAGCCAATAAACAGGACAAAATACAGGCCTATGCAGTATAAGTTGCTAAACGAAAAACAACTGATTAAAATGTTGATAAGCCTATACAGTTCAATTACATCTATATGGACAAGATAAAAGGATATGCATGCTAATGTTGTCACTTGACCAACCACATTGAAATATCAAGAGAAGCAGGATAGGATATGCATGCATACGTGGCAAATGAGAAACCATTGTGAATAACTGTACATGAATATTTGGTTCTTGCCTATTCGATAATATAAAATAGCTTTAGTCATTTTAAGTTCAGTAAAATTAATCGGAGGTTCCAAAATTTTTTTGACAGTGCACTATGAATGCCTATGGCTTATATCTCAGCATGCTGTTCAAACTGCAATGGTTACTTAAAGTAAAGAAATAATGTGCTACTCTTCATTAAGTTTATTCTACAGAGAGAAAAAATCTAAGACATAGTGTGTTCTTTTTGTCAAATATATGAGCTTTCTGGAAAACAAAAGTTGTCAAATTTCATAACTGATATTTGTTTATTTGCACTATGAATGCCTATGGCTTATATCTCAGCATGCTGTTCAAACTGCAATGGTTACTTAAAGTAAAGAAATAATGTGCTACTCTTCATTAAGTTTATACTACAGAGAGAAAAAATCTAAGACTTAGTGTGTTCTTTTTGTCAAATATATGAGCTTTCTGGAAAACAAAAGTTGTCAAATTTCATAACTGATATTTGTTTATTTGTACCCAATGTGGTATATTAAAAAAAAATGTGTTGCAAATATTTATCTCCACTTATAATATTTGCTAATAATTATAGTATTTATATCATGAACGTCCTGGTTTGTTTTCTTCAATTATTTTTAAATAAAAAGGAAAAAAAAATGGCACCGTTTCTAAAATGTATGAAGCAGTTTTAAAAGTGTAATAATTGATTCACATGTTGATCAAATTGATGAAGCAGTTTTAAAAGTGTAATAATTGATTCACATGTTGATCAAATTGATGAAGCAGTTTTAAAAGTGTAATAATTGATTCACATGTTGATCAAATTGATGAAGCAGTTTTAAAAGTGTAATAATTGATTCACATGTTGATCAAATTGATGAAGTATTTAATGTGTTGAAAATATGGATGCCATTGATGGATCCAATACAGACTTCAACTTAGGTCTTGGGATTTATTTCGTTTTGTTGACCTCAACCTGTTTATGGTATGTTGACATTTTTGGAAAACAAAATTAAGCACAGCTTTAAAGCCTAACTAATCTTTTGGCTATCAATAAAAAAACAAACATAATTAAATGTGATCCAATAACTGGTATCAAATAATAGATCATTCCGCTCTAAATAAAATTATTTGTAACATATATTATTGTCGTGTTCTTCATGGAACAATAAGTAAGATTTTAAAGGTACCAGTTCCTAATGAGAGAGAGAGCAAAGTGTCGGAAAAACCAAGAATATTTGAGAGTTACAACCAAAAAAAAAATAATAATAAAAATAACAACACTGGAAAGTTAAAATTATATGATCAACAGAAACGTGACAGGAATAAAAAAAAAACATCATATAAATCTGATTAACGTTTTAGACACGAGCGATTCTAGGAAGTTAAAGAACAAACAACGCTTGCTCTAATACTTTATTTAACGATATGCTATTGTTCAAATGTGCATACACGTAGCTGTCAAAAATGACAGCCCAATCACTCGCGTTCAGCTTCTTGTCTTAGTCGATTTCCTGACAAAGTATCGAACCCACGACCTCTCGGTTGCGGGTTTTGATAAAAAATCATTCATTTAACTTTCTGTGACAAGCTCATTTTTTTTAAAAAGGATACATTTTTATTTAACACAATTAATTGTATTTCTGCAAATATAAATATTGCAGTAGGAGTCATCACACATTTCATTTGATTAAATTGGAAGACAAAAATAACTTAAAACAAAACTCCACCATTCTTTAAAAAAAAAAAAGAGGAAATCATGGACGAGGTTGGCAGGTACTGAGATGTTGACCTTGTTGATCTATCATCAGGAATGTACGAATGAGTCTTCAGTGTAGAGCAATCCTATTGAAAAAAAAAATTACTTTGTTCAATTTTGAAATGTTATTTTCAATTTAGTAACCTACATACGTCACCTGTTACATATCAGTCGTATCAAGGCTGCCCCCTCCCACTTTGGGACCAGCCATGTGGACGCAGCCGTTGCAACACTTGCCCTTTTGTCATCCAGACTCAACACATACAGGGCAGTTTTCGGATACGCGACGGCTTCCTTTGTACAAACCGCAACGTTGTCTACGCCATTGTCTGCACCGGCTGTCAGATGACGTACATAGGGGAGAATGGACGCAGTCTCGCTGACAGGTGTACCGAACACGTCCGTACCAGTACACAACATAAACAGTGTGCCGTCTCCAAACACGTCTATAGTAGGGACCACCAGGGCAAGACTGACTTTTCAATAAAAGCGACCATGGCCAGCGTGAACAGACTCAGCTGAGTCAATTTGGAACACAGGCTTATCCTGACTTATGGTACTTTACTTTGACGCCACATGGGATGAATGTTATGTCTCTTTTCACAGCTTGACCCTAGCTCGCCCCTCCACGTCCTTATCTATTGCTGTGGACTATTGTCTCCTCTTTTCTTTCACTTTGCCCTATTTAATCTCTCACTCACCTACTTTCTGTCACATTTCTTTTGCTGTCCTCGGATACTACGTCCAAGCTAAGTGCTATTTCTTATTTTTGATTTTTATACCGTTTTTTTCTGTTGTTTTGTTCGCTGACGAAGGTTTCTCCTGTTTTTTTTTTCAGGTTTAACCCTACTCTGTTTTACTCATTTTATATTGTGCTAACCTGACTGCAGTCTCTCCCCTTATTACTCTCTTAAATATATATTACGCCTCTGGTGTGAGTCGTGGACTGCTTCCTAATTAACTGCATCCTAATTGACTGCTCATAATCAGCGAATTTGGTATTGGGAGTATAATACAAATAATTATAAATGGTTGAAAGAAAGTTTGGTTCAGTAATCAGTTCATTATAGCGCAAAATATAATTCCCAATAATTACGCAAAATGATTTTTCTATAACGCAAATGAGTTTGGCGCGTAATATTTTCTTTTCGGAAAATGAAATCGTCTAAATTTAAGTATGGTAAAAAAAATAATCGATTTAAAATTGGCTGGGACATCAGAATATTTAATATAGTTCATGGCAGTGACATAAAAAGTGTGCATTGACGTATAATGGGTGGAAGGAGTGTAGCGAAAACTTAGATTCTTAAATATGCGACACTTGAGTTCATGTTCGGCAAGTAACTTTAGTTGATGTGCAGTTCACGCATTGCTGCCGCAAATGTTTGGCGGGCTATATCGTGTATTAAATAATACATTGCTAGAACGGTGGCAAAAGGGGTCACTGTAATCTTATCATTGCACAAAATGAACGCATAGTTTCACAGCATTCGCAGCCGTTTGATGGAACGCGAGGGACGCTAGGCTGCAGGCACGGAAGAAACTGGCCAAAGCTACACAAGGAGGCAAGTGTCCTGGGCGTTCTCACAGTCAGACACAGTAACGGAAGAAACTGGTCAATGTTACATAAGGAGGCAAGTGTCCTGGACGCTCTCACAGTCAGACACTATAACGGAAGAAACTGGCCAATGTTACACAAGGAGGCAAGTGTGGGCGCTCTCACAGTCAGACACTATAGTTTTCTAAACACCGAGGAAGCCTTGTGGTTTTAAATATATTTGTAGATATTTACCACCAACCTTTTCCTGCCTACTCTTGTCACCGCGGGCAGAAAATGACCGTCCATTGTTAGGGAACTTTAACTTCAAGTAGAAAGGTAACGGTCAACAAGTAGCCATAGCACAAATGAAGGAAAACCATGGGTATATTTTTTTAATAATGCAATATAGCCATACCATCATATTTTACCAAAACGAAGCCAGTGTATCCTATTTTACACAGTTTAGTATTCTATAATACTATTATTTATTTATTTATTTATTTAGGCATTTTTATATAGGCGCTTTACAATTATTAAAAACATGTAAACTAAGTAAAATAAAAATGAGACACTAGGATAGTAACTACTATACTATAGAAACAATGAAAATGGCTATAAAACGAGGACACTTTGGCACGTTTTGGCCTATACTTCAGGATCAACCCGAAACAGAAAATGAGGCAGGGCAAGGAGGGTGCATCACAGGTCATAGGCGGACCTAAACAGATGAGTTTTAAGGGACTTTTTGAAAATGGACGAGGTTTCACAATGACGGATATGGAAGGGGAGCTGGTTCCAGAACGTGGGCCTATGGAAGTAGAAGGAGCGTTCACCGATGGTCTTAGTTTTGGTTCTTGGGATTGAGAGGGTTCTACTGTCAATGGAAGAGCGTAGTTGTCTTGTGGGGATGTAAGGAAGCAACAGTTCAGAGAGATAGACAGGAAAGTGAGGGTCAGTGAACGAGTTGAAGCAAAGATTTGCAGACTTGTACTTGATGCGAGAGGATATTGGAAGCCAGTGAAGTTGCCGCATGTTTGGTTGAATGTGGTCATGTTTCTTTAATTTAAAAATGAGTCTGCATGCTGAGTTCTGTGCCTTCTGAAGTTTGTCTATGTGGTGTTGAGGAATGCCTGTGAGAAGAGTGTTACAGTAGTCAAATTTTGAAAGAATGAATGAAGAGACGATAGTTTTTGTGGCATCAAAGGAGAGGAGGTGTCTAATGGTGTTGATTTTTATAATTTCGTTATATGCTGATCTGCATATATTCGTGACATGTTTGTCCATGGAGAGGGTGTCCGTAAGCGTGACTCCAAGGTTTCTGGCAGAGGGAGAGAGTGTGATGTCAGAGTTGCCAATAGATATAGAAGAAGGAGCGAATGGAGGGAGAGGTTTGTTTTGAGAGTGGATGAGAAGGATTTCCGTTTTATCATTGGATTGTGGCATCAAGTTGATCAGGAAAGCAAGAGTCACTGATTTGAGTGTCATCAGCAAAGGATTGACTGGAAACTGAGTGGTGGCTAATGAGAGATGATAGAGGTTTAGTGTAGAGGATGAAAAGGACCGGCCCAAGGACCGATCCTTGAGGAACTCCAATAGACAGGGCTGAAGGTTTGGAAGAGCGGTTGGAAATAGATACTGTTTGAGTTCTGTCAGAAAGATATGATTGAAATCAGTTTAAAGCTGAGCCAGTAAGTCCGAAAGAAAGATGAAGGCGGTCAAGAAGAATATGCTGGTCAATGGTATCAAATGCAGCAGAGAGATCTAACAGAGCGGGAATAGAGAGTTTGCCATACTATCATATATTACTATAACCTACCCATACCATCATGTTATACTATTACTTAGCCATACCATCATGTTGTAGTGTAACATAGCCATACCATCATAGTTTACTGTAACATAGCCATACCATCATATTATACTGTAACATAGCCATACAATCATATTATACTGTAACATAGCCATACCATCATATTATACTGTAACATAGCCCAACCATCATAATTTACTGTAACATAGCCATGCCATCATATTTTAGTGTAACATAGCCATGGCATCATATTTTAGTGTAACTGAGCCATGTCATCATATTATACGGTAACGTAGCCATACCATCATATTTTACTATTACATAAACCTAACATCGTACTGTACAGGAATATTGCGACAATGTTTCTGTATGATGTCAAGCGATTTGAAAGAAGAGTTTCGCAGGTACGTCAACTTTAGTAACTAGTAAGAGACCTTCTGTCACCGGAGTCTCACTTGGACTTTGCTATCTGCTTGAAAAAATTTTGAATACATATCACGACGTTACTTTATACAAGAGCCTCCCCCCCCCCCCCTCAAAAGATTATCACTTCTGATCGACACGTTTCACCCCTTTAGATAAATCTATGTCAATCTTCGTCCGTCATTGCTGGGATCACGGGGTCGTCCGGTGCTTTGCCTTAGCAAGCATTACAACAGCGATTCTTAAGTTTGTGCAAAAAAATAGGTAGCTTTTTTTCGCTTAACAATCGGAAATCCACTTTTTTATTTCATATCCGTAATTTAAAAAAAAAAAACCCAGTGTTTTACGTTACAACACGACGGTAAGAATCTCACGTTATAGTGACGTAATTAAGGAGATCAAACGTAGAAAACATGTTGCCACCGCTGTGGAATGTTTGAAAAAAACAAACACACCAATCACGTTTCATAACACACTTCCTTACAAGGGCGGATCTCATGTTTTCTTGATGTGAGTTACTTAAAGTCGATTTTTTTAAAGGTCTTATTTTTTTAGATTTGATAAAGACAAGCAAAGAAGAAAGCCTTACACAGAGTATCATAGCACGAATCTGTCAATGTGCACCTATATCTCACAATCTTATTAAAAAAATGTATGAAAGGAAAAACAAAACACAACTTCTAGAACCTTTCTGGAAATTTGAGAACAACGATTGAAAGTATGATTTAAAAAAAAGCATTGGAGATTAAATATCAACACTCTTATGTTCCCAACAATGGCGTCCTTCCAAAAACTCTCATTGATGGTAACAAGATTGATGGTAACACCATTGATGTTAACACCATTAATGATAACACTATTGACGGTAGGGGCGTGATTTTAGGTCTTTTCAAGGTTACTTGGTCGGCTCGTTATTACATAGCTATTCAAATAAAACCTGCAAATTCGTGGAAAAAAAATGGGGGGGGGGTATTCCCCACCCTGCCCTACCCAATGACGTCCCTGATTGACGGTAGCACCATGGATGGAAACACCAAAAAAAATAAAAATAGTTGAGGGATAAAATTGAGCAAGAACTAAAACTATAAAGCTAAGTTACCCGCTACCGCGCCTGTAGCAAAGCTCGCCACGTTCCCAGCAAGAAAAGCCAAAAAGACCAACTCTATGATGTCTTGTTTCCGGCTTGGACACATCGGGACCATGGTGCCGATACAGATGCCTATAGCGGTGAAGGCCGAGAAACCACACATCGCGTACGTAGTGATGACCTCAGATCTTGCCTGGTGGTAACAGAACGGGACATATATATTAATGAATGCTGTTCCATGTGTTTGAAACATGTCTCGTTCATCTATTAATCATCTATTAATCATCTATTATTTTGCATCATGTGATTTCATTCTGAAGCGGGGTTATACCAAGTAATGGCTCTTCTTAAAGTAAAAGTCATAAATTATGCTTTTGAATAAGTCTTAGCGTGCCCTGGCAAGGTGAAAACAGCATAATTGTCTGCCCTTTGATAAGTCGAAGTAAGCAAGAAGTAAGCATTTAATAAATCAAATGGTGGATAACTCAATACTATTTCATATCTATATCTAGGTTTATGTACCAAACACTTTATGGCTGGCTATTTTTCTCGGGATAACTAAGGAACAGATATTTATATTACTGAAATGGGTGAATAACATCAGCCAAATTCTTGCAGTAATCCATTCTAAAAACACTATTGGACCTATCAATAATGAATAATCTACATATGGACGAAATTCACATTAGTCATATAAGCTCTTTATAACAACACAACTTACCGACATAATGCCATTGACCAAAGTTGTGTTGATACTATCAAGTACAACGTCATCTCCTGACCAGTGCCACGAGTTGTTACCGTTGGCCACATATGATTCGAATATATGCCTGTTCTTCATGTCAAATATATTTTCAAACAAAAAATTGCGTTAATACCTATAAAAGTTGTCAAATTTTTAAAAAGTAATATGTCATTACCGTGTTTACTTTTTAAGAGAAGAAATTGACGGTTATATAGAAGTTATACTTACAAAACTAACTGCCAAAAAACTACAACAGTACACTGAAAAAATACTAGGTGACTACCAAAGTGGATTCAAATATAACAGACCAACTACTCATCAGATTTTCATCAGATGCCTATTAGAGAAACGTCGTGAGTATCATATCCCAGTTCATCAACTCCATGTGGACTATAAATTGGCCTATGACAGCATAAAAAAAAATATTTATATGAGACTCTGCATGCGTTTGGCATACCTGACAAGCTGACAAGACAGATATATGTAACACTGAACAACTCAAAAATAAAAAATCAAGGTTTAGGGAGAATAGTCAAAAAAATTACAGATAAGACGAGGCCTAAGCCCATGAGACTCACTGACTTGTATGCTATTGAACCTAACATTAGAGAGAGTTATAAGAAGCATAGAGGACAACTGAGAAACAATGACAGGATACTTTCTGAGCGAAACCCAAGATCCACAACTAATAGGCACTCTCTACAGCCAACCTCTCCAATATCTTGCAAATGCTGACAACATAGCACTGTTAAAGAAAAATAACAAAGACCAATCAAAAGATTTTATTGAATTTGAAGACGCATCAACCACAAGCAGGACTGGAAGTAAACAACTAAAAAAAAAAAACCAAGACGTGACAATGTTAAGAGAAAAAAAGAAAATCAATTCAAATACCTAGGATATTTTTAAATGAAAGACCTGAATATCAGCCGGAAACAGGGCATGCTTTAGTCGTCAGAAAATACTCAAAAGTAAAAACATTACAAGAAAAAAGAAGAAAACTATTTATAAAGCTGTCATCAGACCAGTTGTGACATACGCAAACTTGGACCATAACAAAAACGGCAGAAAACCCGTTAAACATATAGGAGAGAAAGTTTCTGCGGAAAAATATATGGATCAACAAAGAATGACCATGGATGGAGAATACGAACTAACTATGAATTGTACAGTCCATATCAGGATCCGACGCGAAGAAATAAAAAAGGGTAGGCTGCGCTGGGCAGGACACTTATAAAGAATGCCAAATGACAGAGGAGTGAAGAGGGTCCACCACCAAAATCTCAGAGAAAGACAGCTCAAAGGAAGACCCAGGTTTAGATGGATTGGATGATGTTGAAAAAGATCTAAAGCAGCTTGGAATCTCAAGCATGGAAAAGAAAAGCATCAGTTAGGTCTGAGTGGAAGGAAGTGGTGAGGCAGGCCAAAATCCTACATGGACTGTAGCACCATAGGAATGGATGGATAAAAACTGGACAACCATTGGCCTTGATAGCTACGGTGATTTTTCCATTGAGCAAGGGCAATAACCGTTTTAAACATTTGTATTTTCGATTACTTCCCTTAGCTATTAGATGTACATTACCTTGAAAATAAGTGTTTAATGTAAAACTAGCGACAGTAATGATGTTTTTTTATTTACTGATATTATATGAACGATATCTTCAATCAGATTTTTTCTTAATTATTTTTGCAATAAATTCTACTTTATAATAATTTTAAAAAAAACCAACAAACCACTAGGTTGAAAAGGTGTAGATGTGTTAGTAAACAGTCTTATCTCACTGGACCAGGGTTGTATGTTAAGTTGAAAAGGTGTAGATGTGTTAGTAAACAGTCTTATGTAACTGGACCAGGGTTGTATGTTAAGTTGAAAAGGTGTAGATGTGTTAGTAAACAGTCTTATCTAACTGGACCAGGGTTGTATGTTAAGTTGAAAAGGTGTAGATGTGTTAGTAAACAGTCTTATCTAACTGGGGTAGGGTTGTATGTTAAGTTGAAAAGGTGTAGATGTGTTAGTAAACAGTCTTATCTAACTGGACCGGGGTTGTATGTTAAGTTGAAAAGGTGTAGATGTGTTAGTAAACAGTCTTATCTAACTGGACCAGGGTTGTATGTTAAGTTGAAAAGGTGTAGATGTGTTAGTAAACAGTCTTATCTAACTGGACCAGGGTTGTATGTTAAGTTGAAAAGGTGTAGATGTGTTAGTAAACAGTCTTATCTAACTGGACCAGGGTTGTATGTTAAGTTGAAAAGGTGTAGATGTGTTAGTAAACAGTCTTATCTAACTGGACCAGGGTTGTATGTTAAGTTGAAAAGGTGTAGATGTGTTAGTAAACAGTCTTATCTAACTGGACCAGGGTTGTATGTTAAGTCATAAAATAAGTTAAAATAACATTCTTTAATTGACCCAAATAAATGGAAATGTTTTTTTTTTAAACTTATATCTGACTTATTCATTTTCATGAATACAAAAATACATATTTTAATCAAAACAACAATTGAATATTTTACAACAATTTAAACACAAGACACCTAAAGTATTTCTCTAACGTACAAAATACACCAAAAAAAAAAAAGAAAAGAAATGTCCCGAAGCCGTTTCATGACTATGTTGTCGTTAACTCTTGATACACTTGGTGTTTTATAAAGTGTTCAAACATGTGGTTTATTTTAGGTCTCACTTTGATAATCTTGCCCAGTTCAGCGTAGCCCACCATGGGTGTAGCGAAGAGTTTGATGCCTATAAGTGTCCCGACCTTGCCACAGTCGGATGGTTCGGCTCCCATGGCATAGGCCAGAGGGTACAGGACATACGAACAGATTTTCTGGCAAGTCAAACATGATAAGGAAACATTCACTAAAGAAGAAGATTATATTGTTTCAGTTTTCTATGGTTTATACTCTTTAAATAAAACTACGATCACAACTATTACAAAAAAGATGTTTTGAAGAATGTTTAGATATTACAGAATTATTAATACAATCGATTTATATTTGAGTAATTTTGTATTTCATAAATTAACCATCTGATTTTTGTTTTCTTTGTTTTTATGTAAATTAAATAATTTCGGATGCTTAAAAATTTCAAGGAAATAACTGAAAACAACAGAAGCACCGTTGAAGCACAATTCTCTCTTCTACTGACATTTGAAATGATTATATTCAAGCTGTATGGAATTTACTGTAGTATATTACGTAACGCGTGATACATCTTCACGACAGTGAGGCAAATAATTCACCCATCAAGTGTGTTTACACGGTAAGTGGCTAATTATCTCATCCCGTGAACTTACTGCAAACGACAGGCCGTCGACCCCGGCACGTTGTCCCAGCCAATCGAAGGCTGCGTCAATCAGCTTGAGGATGGACACCAGGGCCAGCATGTTGGCCATGATGGCGGTCACGATCTTGACAGCGGACACAGCCCCCTCAGAACACGCTGACAACACGCTGCGTGCAGCCCTGTTCATGACGGATGATACAAGTATGTGCACGTATGGATATCAACTGATATGTCGCGTGCAGCCCAATTGATGACGGATGATACAAGTATGTGCACGTATGGATATCAACTGATATGTCGCGTGCAGCCCAATTGATGACGGATGATACAAGTATGTGCACGTATGGATAACAACTGATATGTCGCGTGCAGCCCAATTGATGACGGATGATACAAGTATGTGCACGTATCGATATACACTGATATGTCGCGGTAGATTATTTGCGGTAATGCTCATCGTTCATGTTAACTATTTATTGACTTTTACTAAAATGTCTGATTCCTAAAAGGGCGATTTCTGGAGGTTAAGAGAGTACAAACACCCACCCCTACCCACCCAATAGTATAGCCACTCAGTATCAGCACTGATTGCACACCAGTTGTTCTGATGTATTTGGTGACAAAAGATCTTAAGCGAATTTACAACGAGAATTATTGTAATTCCCAAAATGAGGTGGTTACTCAAATGTGAAACTTGAGCTTCTTACCTCAAATAGGACCGTAAGACTGTTACTCAAATGGGACCATGTGATTGTTACTCAGAGGGGACCGTGTTACTGTTACTAAAATAGGACAGTGGCAATGCACAATAATTGCTTACATTAAATCCTGAGCAAATGGTAAAAATTGAATTATTGAGATCCAAAAAAAACAACAAAAAACAGACCTTCTGAACCTCATATTTAACATTTTGAATGTAATCTTTTTTTAGTTGATATAAAGTGACACAGTGTTACATTTTGCAGTTTCTCACTTTGTGTTCAGGTGTCAAAATGATCGTTTTAGTTTCTGATTCGTATTTTGTTGTGTACGACTACTCTATGGATCATCCTCAAAGATTTTCCTGTAACGAATTGTCTGGTTTTGGTTCATCCTCGATATAGAATATCAAAAGTGCTGTGTTTATTTTAAAAAAATGTTGTAAACAATGAATGTAAAATGGAAATAACTTGAGTTTTAAAAAAAAATCTTCTTTGAGGTCCAGTACAGGTTCATATAGTGAATAAATTGACCAACTTTGTTCCATCCATTATCCGCATGTTAGTTTGAACTGATAAGTCTGTTTCTTCTGTCTCGGGGTACACCAGTTTTGTAATGGCCATTGCCGCAGGGGCGGAGATAACGGCAGCAGTAAGGAGGTGATTCGCTGGAGCCTGGCAAAAGGAATTTTGAGCATTTAGAGTACACAGAATACGGCCAGGAGTGTTCGAGGTCTTGAGATTACTTGTCATAGTGGAGTGTGACAACAATAAATCGCTTAAGTCTCAACAACAGCAAGAACAAAATGCCGTACCCCATAGCTGATAAAGAGTCCCAAAGTGGCCCCAGAAACACTCGCAAAGCCACAGGTCATTACCGCACACATTTCAGATCTGCTCAATTTCGGCAAGTAGGGTCGAATCAAGAGAGGCGCTTCAGACTGAATAAAAAATGGTTTTGTATAGTTTGAAATATATTCTAAATCGAATAAAAATAAAATTCCATTCAACATATCCTTAAGCTAATTTATATATTTTATGAATTTAAAGCAATACAATTTTTGTTTTGGTTCTTTGACACTATACGCTGATTAGCTTTATTTGTAAGTAGCAACTCCCAACAGAACCCTTAAGTTTTTAAAATGAAAGTTCTTTGCTGGTCCATGTACCATTCCAATGAAAATATTGGCCACAGCTATTACTGACTCCACTGGTCCTGTTTGCAGACAGTAGGCCAGAACTCTGCCAAGGTTGACAATGACAAACTCCAGCACACCCCAGTGAATTAACAGGAAGATGATGGCGTTGAAGAATATGAGGATCGAACCTGACTTCATGACGAATATAAACAATGGAATATATGAGACATAGGTTTTTATTTTCGAAAATATATTAAATTTTAAAAAAGCTACAGTGGAACCCCGCTATAACGCACCCCGCCATAACGCGAATTCGGATATAACGTGGTCGTAGCATGGCTCCCGAAATTTGAAATTCATTTACTCCATCAGGCCTAAGTTCTTTGAAAATTTTATCCATTGCTTGGAAAACCATTTTTTAAAACGAAAAAATCACAACTTTTCAAAATATCGTAGAAAATGAGCCCCTAAACGCATCACGTTTAAACTAGTATCAACATTAATGCCGAAAACGAGGCTTTATTCCGGTAGAACTATTAAATAGTAATAGGTAAGGGAATTCCGCTGTGCTAAGAACGAAAGTAAACAGCAAATAGAAGAGAAAACTGGTTTCATTAGGTTTTTGAATGGGAGTCGCTTAGTCACTTCCTTGTTTGGTCACGTGATATGAGTAAGTCATCACTAGGCTGCAACACACAACAAAAGATACTTCATCAGTGCTTCCCCAATGTTATGTTAATTAAAAATTTTACTAATGTGACAATAAATATACGTCAGTTATAATTAAAGGAAGAAAGTTATTTCAAGAAAAATTTGTGAGCGATATTCGATGGGAACTATCAATACTATTATCGGCAGGATGTTGTTGAGCTCCGTGCGTGCTCATGACGTCATTTGCGTTTTTATTCAATCTTGATGCAGGAGTCATTCCCCTTTGTTTATTTTATTGTTAATTTTCATTGGACGAAATGTAGTGTAGTTGTAGTGTGTATCGGGCTACTGTTGTCAAGCACTAGTGTGTTGTATACAGTATACCGGAAATCTTACTCGTTTTTACTCATATCACGTGACAAAATAATTGACTAAGCGACTCCCATTGTTAAGCCAAAGTAAACATTATCGAAAGTGTTACTTATTACGGATCCATGAGTAAAGCCAGTAAATCGTCTTTGTGATTGTCTTCAATGAATTATATATTGCTTATATTAAAAAACATATTTTACGCAGCCCCGCTATTAACGCGATCCGACTTTATGGACCCCGATCATCGCGTTATAGCGGGGTTCCACTGTATTTCAGTACCACACGAATGGAAAATATTGATTACATAAATAAAATATCCTTGCACTATGCCAATGACTGCGCTCTTTTATAGACTTTCTTTCTACCCGCATTTCCATCTTGTGGGGCGTAATTGTTTTGGCTTACACTCATGACTCTTTTGCTCAGTTGGTCGTGGTTCATCGCGTCCGCTTCGTTCATTGAATGGTGTTTTGCACGTTTTTTTGGGATTGAGTGGTTTGAAAGGGGTTGAGGGCAGGGCATAAGTCAATAATTCTACTTTTGTCGATAATTTAAGGATTAATTTCATTAATTCAAAAGTGAAAAACGGAAAAGAAGTGTAACACATCTACTTTGACATGGCGTGGGATCTTATTTCTTATGCTGTAGGTTATGTCAGTAGTATGGTTACTTATGTTATGTTGATATTTCAGGATGCCGACTAAAACTTCTTCATTCTTCCACTTATTATCCGGGCACGCAAATAAGAATACTGAATCCTGGTTAAACTCACAGTACTTTATTGAACACACTTTATACTGATAATATTAATAAATAATCCTTGCATGAATGTAATTTCACATATATATCTATAGTATTCCATCATTAAGAAAGACACGTCCTCACACTACTATAACTCAGCTCAACTGTACTACATCTCAACTCTAACTCAACTCCGACTAACTCTGACTCTCCTTGCGCTCAGCTCTCCTTATCTCAGTCAACTCATACTTTATTACCAGCAAAGCGTGGAAAACAACCGCTCTGACAAAAACATAATTTTACTCTCCAAAAACGTGGAGCTCACATTGTCCTCTCAAAATACATGGTCAACACAATTCACTGTTCACTCATGCTACCTCTCTGTTTTCATGTGAAAACATAGTCCGTTACAAGAAGAAACCTTTTTAAAAGAGACGTTCTACAAAGAAAAAAATTAAAACGCTCTAAAAAGTAGAAAAGTATACAACATTTCGTAGAATGCATTATGCAAAGAAGATCTTTGCTGGAAATATTTTGAAAAAATTAATAAAATAAAACATAACAATATTTAAGTTTCATCTAGATACAATTCAAATCCTTGGCTACATAGAGTGCTCATCTACACCTCTGCACGGTCTTTCTTTGCATAATGCATTTACGAAAATTTATATTATTTTCATTTTTTAGTGTGTCAATTTCGTCTTTGGCAGAAGGTCTTTTTAATGTAGTGGATTTAAAAAAAAAATTAATCATGAATTAATTCGTGCTTTAATTAATGTGATTATTGATTGTACATGTATCAGTAAGTTCCTTGTTGTGAACAAGGAAAAATAAGGAGTGGTGAGGTGTGTGTTTGTGGTGGGGGGGGGTGTGATCTTGGCAGAGGGCTGGTCAAAGTGGGGTGCCAGTTTGACGATTGGACGAGTAACATTCCTCAAACAATTTCCATAATCTGGCCAAAGAGTATGAGGGAGTCTAAGCAGTACCAAAATGCGACAAGCTCATATACTCTTTAACAAAAACACTTCGAGACAGGTTGGTATTGTACATCATTTACTTAAAGTATGCGCAAAAATACATTAAAAACTTTAAAGAATGCATATGATACATTAATAAATACTTTAAAAAAATGATATTTGGTTGAGGAGTGTAGCTTGTGTGTGTGTGTGTGTGGGGGGGGGGGTCATGATAGACGTTAACGGATCACACAGTAATAAATAAAAGTCGATAATAGTTGGTGAATGAATTCACAGTATTAAGTACTTATGTATAAAGACGTAACAAAAACCACAAACTTACTCGATAGGCCAGACCCATCTCTTTGAAATTATTGCCAAGTACAAAGGCGGCCCCATAATCCGAGAAGTCAACCAGCGCCGTCACGGCATCCCCCAGTCTTTTAAACAACAAGTAGCCGATCTCAGTCCGCAAGGTCAGTATCGCAAATAGAAACTGAATGACAAAACCCCAGAAAACGGGATGCCAATTCACCTGTGAACCAAACATGCATGTTTATAATGTTATATTTATTTTTTATATTAGACTCAAATCCTAATAGGACCACAAAAAAAAGCGCGTGTTCAACATGCGGGAAAGCTTTCCAGCCACAAATAGGACTGACAGGCCAACTGCGTACTCACTGTGTGATAGATATCCCCGGTCATCTTCGCACGCGAACGACGGTCAACACATATCTATTTATTGGATTGGATTTGTTCGAGTCTGTGGATCAGCTATATTCTTGGCTTGGAATTGGATTTTACTTTGTGGATACTTAATAGTAATAAAATTTAATCACTTTAAACACATAAACGATTGTCAACAAGATAAATGACGCACCCTGCTCGATTTCTTAGACAAGATGAAGCACACCACGATGAGACAGAAGATTCCAAGGATTGACTGGCTGTTCCGTGGATGGCTGGGCAACACGAGGAATCCAAAATACAGAGCTAGTCCCGCAGTAGCCAAAAAATAGAGGATACTGTTGAATAATTAGTATAGGGTATTAAACAAAAAGACATTTTAAAAATATATTTGAAAAAAAACAAACAACAAAAAAAAAAAACAACAAAAAATTGATCACAGTCGGAACAATACAAAGTTTTAGTAAACATTCAATATTCTTAACACATTTATAAAACCTAAACTAGTTTATAAACACGCAATAATAATTAGTATAGGGTATTAAACAAAAAGACATTTTAAAAATATATTTGAAAAAAAACAAACAACAAAAAAAAAAACAACAAAAAATTGATCACAGTCGGAACAATACAAAGTTTTAGTAAACATTCAATATTCTTAACACATTTATAAAACCTAAACTAGTTTATAAACACGCAAACAATGTTGATCTGTTTGTCTGTTTCTACTACTAAAGTGGCGGGAGGGAAGGAGGTGGCACGTGAGGTCACTAGAGTTTATTTTGAATTCGGCTGAGCCGGTCAGATGCAGGCTCTTGTCTCTGTCACAAAAATGCATGTTGCAGTGAGAAGTCACGAAGGTCATCACGCACCAGTCTGCTCAATCATGGCCGGAGCATTAGACTGAATAAAGCTGTTATCGTCAAATGCAATAAGCTATAATTATTATAAAAGTAATTTGATGCCCGTGCATATTATCGTATTTTGTTTTTGAAGCCTGGGAAGAGGCCGAGCTATTATTTTCCCTTTAAATGGGGAGTAGGGGTTGTATAATCACTAACACTAAAATAAAAGTTTTTTGAATCTTTGATATGTGTTATGTTCTTTCCCGTAATAATGAAATTAAAGGTGATCCGAAGGTCAAAAGTCGCCCAAGATGACCGACGGTGCCACCGAATTGCTTAGTCCGAAGTAGTCATAGCTCAAGAGTCATTTCTAACAAGACATCTTCCCGTGTGCTTACAAGCGTATGGCTGTGAGCATTCTTTTAGCCTTGGTCGGATCTACGAGCTTGGCTCGCTGAAAAGGTAAACTACAGGTGTAACCTTTAGATGACATCAGTTTGCGACATGTATAAATAGCGAACACTGATGTGCCAGTCAGCAGAACAATAGAACCTTCGTCACCGAATCTGTGGATAAAAACATTATATAATAAATACCCAAACACGACGAAAAAAAACATATAAGAAGGACAGAATGAATGCAAATCTTTCCTAAAGGTTTTTGTTTTCTTATGAACAATACCGGAAGACTGTAGCTCATTGGTCATAAACTTTCTTCAACTTTACATTCATAAAAATTAGTGGCTAATAAAACATTTAAACGATTTTATCGATATTCAAGTCATCTCTATTAGTTATTAAGTCTAGAATATATGAACTCAATAAGTTTCTAGATTCTAGTGAACCCATCTCTAGTTATCCATTTTCGTTTTTTTTTAAACTGCGATTGCCCAGCATTCTTACCTGTACTGCATACAGTAAACAAAGTAAGCCGTGTAGGCTATCAGCATGACGACCTTAAAAGCCACCTTCATGTGTCCACCAAAACGTTTGCCGATCTCAGCCATGGCCGTCTCCACCGTCTCTACGAAAGACACGAACACGCCCCTCCTCCCTCTCGCGTCCACCAGTTTAGGGTTTTGATCTGTGACGTCACACTTGGAGGCTCCGTTGGCGCTCTCCGCGACAAGGACACTCACCAGCTCCACGGCGTAGTCTGACGTCATCGCGGAGTCTCTGCACACTGTCATCTGTTGGAACAAAGACAATGATCATTCCCAGACAGTCAACTGTTAGTACAAGTAGAAGCCGACCGAAAGTGATTTTCTGATTTCGGCCAAAGCCGAAAATAGGCCGAAAATTTAAAATGACTTTCGGCCGAACCAAAAATGGGCTGAAAGTTTAAACATGACTTTCGGCTGAAACCGAAAAAAGACCGAAAGTTAAAAATGAAATTCGGCCGAACCGAAACCGAAACTGATATATTTAGATATTTTGAAATTCGTTCCCGCATACATTCTGCATACTTCGAAAATGATGGGGAAAGTATAAATATGTACATTCATTTTATAAAAAATGAGATAATCGTGAATAACTAAACATCTAATATACGGGTCACAAACTCGCGGCCCGTGAGCTATTTGTGACCTGCAAGACGATATTTTGCGGCCCGCTGCATGATAGAAAAGTTGACTGTTAATGCGCCGGCGCGTTTCCCCCATTCTCATATCTATAACGTGACTCTCTGCGACTGTTTCAGTCGAATCTCACTGAACTAGTCTAATTCTGATTTTTAAAAAAAAATTTCTATATATTTTTGTATGATGAATATAATGGTAAGAACCGTTTTAAAATCGGAATAAAAGTTTTTATTTTACAGCTTTTATGAGACAAGCATGCAAAGAGTGCGGCTTTGAGAAAAGTTTTTAAAAGTAAGTTGGCGGGTAATGCACAACTATAATTGTGTCAATCGTAGCAATCTGATACATTATCAAAGGATCCATATTAAAATTGCCGCTAGTGTTTACGAGTGAAGGAAATATCGAGCCTGTCAGTTTGGTCACTTTTAAAATCTTCTTATTATGCCTTTTTATACAGTCTGGGGCATAGGCCATCCTTAAGAATTCTCCATTCATCACGGTTCTGTGATTTCCTTTCCAGTTGTTTCCAGGTGTTTCCCATATTTTGCGGGTCTGCCTCTAGCCTTGCGTCTCCATGTATTCTTTGGCCTTCCTCTGTTTTTCCCTGTGGATTCCATGTTAATAATTGTCTGGTGATGCTATCGGTTTTTTTTCGGAGAGTATGTCCTATCCATCTCCATCTTTTCTTTAAGATGTCTGCAAAGATCGCTTAGTTTGTTGTTAAAAATCGTTTAGATTGTTTTTAAATTTTGTTAAATTTGTACTTAAAGATAATTGATTTTTCCCTTTAAGATCGATTAGTTTATTCTTAAAGATCTTTTAGTTTCTTCCTAAAGATCACTTAGTTTATTCTTATAAATCATTTAGTTTACTATCAAAGATCATTTGTTTTGTTATTAAAGATAATTTAGTTCGTTCTTAAAAATCGTTTGGTTTGTTCTTTAAGATCGTTTACTTTGTTATTAAAGATCGCTTAGATTGTTCTTAAAGATCGATTTGTTTGTTTTAAATATCATTTAGTTTGTTCTTCAATGTCGCTTAGTTTGTTGTTAAATATCGTTTAGTTTTTTCTCAAAGATCACTTAATTTGTTCTTAAAGATCGCTTTATTTGTTTTTTAAGATCTCTTTATTTGTTTTTAAAGATCGTTTAGTTTGTTCTTAAAGATTGCTTAACTTGTTCTTAAATGTCGCTTTGTTTATTGTTAAATATCGCTTTTACTGAATATTAGATGATCGAAAACCTCAGCCACTTTCGACCGGATGGCCGAAAGTCTAAGTCAATTTTGACTGAAACCGAAAAAACCCCCAAAAGTTAACTTTCTCTTTCGACCGAAACCGAAATTAAGCCGAAAGTTAACTTTTCAGTTTCGGCCGAAACCGAAACTTGGCCGAAAGCGATAAAATGGCCACTTTCAGCGCCGAAACCGAAGCCGAAGACGAAATTCGGTCGGTGTCTAAGTATAAGGGTAGGGTTAGTTATGAACACATCTGACATTTAATTAAAAGGTACGCTATGCTTATTATGTGGTTACAGAGTCATTTTATCTGGAAAAGTCTAAAGTGTCTACGCTAGTAGTGGGATTTAAAAAAAAAAGTTTGTCAGGGAGCCGTCCATAAAGTACGTCAACCTATTTTTTGAAAATGTTTATCCCCTTCCTTCCCTCGTCGCAGTCCATCACAATTTTCAGACACCCCCGTCGCCCTAAAGTACGTTACACTTTGTAACCAAAAAACAATTTAAATGTAATCCAAAACGCACGTCACTACTGAACTATTAAATCTATAAAGTGACACCTCCTTTCAGAGTGCATACATCACAACAGAAAGTTCAACATCGCCATCAATTTCAACTATATGCATGCTAAAAAAAACAACAACCAATGTGTGACGTCACAAAATATCTTTTATTCCCACCCCCTCGTGTCACAGCTACGCTGTCACACTTTTTGAGACGCCCCCACAGCCTTTCCGGAGCGGATGTACTTTATCGACCGACCCCCTTATTGAATGCCCTCTTACTGATGTGAAAACCATCTGCTTTCTTTTAAGTTCAAACAATTTATCTAAAGCATTTTTTTTCCCTTAGATTTATTTCTTAAAAGCAACACTGACAAAAATTGATACTCTTTTACATGGCTGTCACCTAACTAATGACAGAGACCCACTTAGACCAACGATCTTAAAGTAGCAGTTCTTCAGGTTTCAAGGTTTCCCCACAAAGCCATATACCAAAGCCATTGAAATAGACGGATTTCAAACCTCATCGATCGTTTAGTATTGTAAGCTTTACAGGCAAACGTTAGCAATAATTAAACAACCCTTAAAAACAAAGTCTTTTGAGTAAATCCTTGACATGCATTTTTTTATCATTTTATTTTATATTAATATCCCAAAGGCCCACCCGCTTTTGCACGGGAGATTTATTCCCCCTTGCTCCTCCAGAAAAATAAAAGCAAATAATAAGCACCATTCGCTCTTGGGATTAAAAAAAAAAAAATTATCTCATTTAGCGCAGTTATCGGACATTTTATTTCCAGATATTGGTGTCATCATTGGACCATAATCTTCGCCTTGATAAACAGGAAAAAAACTGATTTTAGAGGGGGGGGGGTTTGGGGCTTAAATTTGGATAGAATGTGTTGTCCAACGGCAACGAGTCTACGTGCCAAGTTTCAGCTCGATATGTTGACGCGGAAAATATTTTGACGAGGAAACTCACGAAGAAAAGCGAAGTTAATTTAAAAGATTTTTAAACAAGAGTATTTATATTCGTTTCTTACCTTGAAGTCGGAGTTAGAATTCAGAAGTCTCTGACTTGCCTCCAAGTGACTGGCATCCTGGAAGATGGTAATTCTAAACAGCTATTGTTTTTTTAAAAAAAAAATTGCTTCGTTGATCTTCTTAACAGAAAACACGTTCACGCGAACTAAGAACACATATAACATCGAGGCTCTTATCAAGCCATTCTGTTTGAATTGTATTCTTCACCACACACCGGCCACGAGCTACTGCAAAAATCACTTCCGTCCAAATTTCGAACACATTTTTAAATGTTTATAATAGAATTTACATAGCTGATTAAAACGAACAGTGGCAGCTTTCATACGTATCTTTGTTTTAAAAGAATCCGTTACAATAAGTAATTAGCAGCTTGTAATTTAAAAAAAACAACTATACAAACATCTTGGCAAGTTTCTATTTGTAGACCTAAAACCAGTACAATCAATTTTTTTAAAGAAAAAAAAGAGAGAATGCGAGATAGAGAGAGAGAGAGAGAGAGAGAGAGAGAGAGAGAGAGAGAGAGAGAGAGAGAGAGAGAGAGAGAGAGAGAGAGAGAGAAAACTTTATAAAAGAATGTAGGGAGAGTGATAAAAAAAAAAAATATTAAAAAAAAAAAAAAAAAGAAAGAGAGAGAGAGAGAGAGAGAGAGAGAGAGAGAGAGAGAGAGAGAGAGAGAGAGAGAGAGAGAGAGAGAGAGAGAGATAGAGAGACAGAGAAAACTTTTTAAAAGAATGAATGGCCAGTGGTAAAAAAAAATAATATTTTTAATCTACGACTTTTAGTTTAAGTTTTTTAATTTGACCAGCCACTTGATAGTGATGCACGATATCATTTTGTTAGCTGTTGTCAGAGAGCAAATCAGTTTTATAAAAATCGCGGATCCAAACATTGACGCATGTCGATTTAGCAATGACCAGAATAAGATTTTAGACTACATTGTTTCGTTAAAGAATCGAAGTTTTAGAATCTGTCGGCCACTAGAAAACTTTAGAACTGTTTTTTTATGAGATCAACAACTTATTTCTTTCTGCTATGATTTAAAAACAAAATAATATAATTAAATAATTAACTGGAGTTTTTAGAGTGCTTAACAATCCTTAATCAAGAAGACCCCGTCGCTGGCTCGTAAATGAAAAAAAATGAACTCGTATCATGATTTTTAAAATTAAAAATGTCATGAAATGATATCAGCATGACCAAGTTATAAGTACATACCATGACATCTGATGACGCACGAAGTTCTTTATCTTCACTTTCCCGAAGCCGCAAAGGAACGATTACAGATTCATTTTACTGGAAGTTCTAAATGTGATCTCATAGTTATCCACTCGTGTACTTCACACGTCTATAACACACACCCGCTTTGGGGATGTCTTCGGTCATTTACAGCGATTCGAAGTGTGATCCGTTACCAGCGAGGTGGACAGAGTTGACGAGTGATGGTCATAACAATAAGGACCGGGCAATGGTTAAGGCCAATGATAAGTTAAAATGATAGACGCCGTTTATCTAACGCCCAGTATCGCCACCCATGGTTGTTCAATTAGCAGTGATGTGCTGGGCGCGTGACGTACATACCGTATGTCAATTACCTAAAGATATTATGAAACTTGACCCGTGGAACCTGACACGATTTGCAGTCTAGATGTGTATTGCTTGAAGAGTGTTATGTGAAAAAGGGCTGGGTTATGGTTGTAAGGAACTGTTGGGGCCTCTGATATGTTGGGGCTTAAAGTTGTTATGTGGACAATTTGGAATGCGCGTTGGAGGAAGGACACAACCGAAAAGTGGCCGGGGGCCTCGAAAAATCAAGGACGGCTCTGCTTGACCTACCTATGGAAAGCAAATATATTTTGTTATATACTAAACAGAACTGTGGTTTTGTCTTTATTAAAACTATTTTGGTTGCAAAGTTCTCAATTACTAAATGATTTTAAATTTAAAAAAAAAAATTCCCAAAAAGATTTCCATCCCAAAATAGCTCTGCTAACATTATTTCACTAATACGCAATGGACGAAAACATGGTTCAAAATTGCATTTTCCAAATATGACCAAGTTTTACAAGAGCCAAATAGTTATTTAGAAAGATCTACATATTTTTAGTGATACTCAAAGCTGATTATTTTTTATGAATCGTATAAAAACGGGACAAGAGTTGTTTACAAAAGACATATATTCATTAATGTGCGAATCTATCTGTGGGAAATCGTACAAAAATAAAGTATAGATTTTCTAATGTTCAATTGAGTGAAATGTTTATTTTAAACTATAAACTACTTTAACTTACTTCAGATCCATTACAAATTTCCCATCGATATACTTCAACACTTTTTTTTTCTTACGAAACCCATCGAATTAATGTTTTAAATTGACGATTTTGACTGAGTCTTTTTTTTTTTTTTTACTAAAAACTAGCCAAAAAAAGGAAAATACATGCTAATCGAAAAGTTCTTCTCTAAAAAAAAAAAAAAAAAAAAAAATAATAAAAAAAAAAAAAAAAAAAAAAAAATGAATGTTAAAAAGAAAAAAAAAAATGCGTGCAGATAGGTGGGGCAGAATGTTCATTATTCTGATGTTAAAAAGAGAAGAAACATTTAGAAATTTAATAAATATAAGCGGAGTATTAAAAAAAGAAATTCCGTTGTTCAGGAAATTGTGTTACACTAGCAGTACATTTAAAGAAAACGCAAATGCTTTCCCTCTAACAGTAATAGGTGACACGTGCACTAGTTTAATACGCCCGTTAAATTCTTAATTTTTATATTGTTTCGTTTTATCTAGCTCAACATACATGGAATAGAGTATATTAAAAATTATGCTAATAACTATATATAATTTTTTTTGTAAAGCATGAGGGGTTTGAATTGATGTAAATTTAGTCTGATACAGTGTTATTAAGGTCTTTAAACTTGTGAATTTGCAAAAGACAAATGACTAAAAATTCCGATATATTTCTTTCACTGTCCCAAAGAATTGTTATAACTTAAACACTCACAAATTTTTTTTTTTTTTAAATTTAAAAATCCATATCTAGAACTATTCATCAATTAATTTTCCCAAACATGTTTTTATTATGTTATTATATCAATATAAATAAATATTTTTAGCAAACGTTCTGCCTCTTTATTTCTTCTGTGACGTTCTGTGACGTTCTGTGACGTTCTGTGACGTTCTGAGACGTTCTGTGGCGTTCTGTGACGTTCTTTGCCATTTCCTCGGATATCGTCAATGTCAAGGTCCCATGGATTGTATTTTTGTAAAGTTACACGTTTAACCCAGAGCTGATTTAGTGAAGTTCACATGTGTTGGTTTTGTGACACAAATAACTGGATAGGAACATTATGCTTTATCGATGTATTGTTTGAGAACCACTAATTTACGGTATCATTGTATGGAATATTGGGGTATGTATTTTGAACTTTTCTTTTCAAGTGACTAAAAGCTAGCTAATCGGTTTTGTGTAAATAGCTGACTAGCTAGAGATAGCTTTTCAATCAAAGATTAACATACCCCTTACTAGTTCGCTAATTAGGAAAAAAAAAGAGGAAATGTTAAAATTAAAATAGGAGCCAAGTGGATTTATATTAGTTTTTACTATTAGACAAAGCAGTAGAACACATGGTTGTGGGGGTGGGGGGGGGGCTTCCCAAAGTTCTTGTTCTTCGTTCAAGGGAAGGTATCCATTTAGGAAAATGGTTTACTGGATGATCTCCTCGACATGTATAAAGCGATCGCCGTCAAGGTTTGCTCCTCGTAAAGGCCATGCTTAAATAGTTTCATTACTTTACTACACCTAGACAACATTTCTTCACCATACGTTGGAATGGCATAAGGGACGATGTCAGAGTGATGACGATGTTATGACAATGTTAGCAGCAAAGGGAATGTTCAACGTAATGTTTTATAGAGCAGTGGTTCTCAAAGTGGGCGGTACCTCCGCCCCCCAGGGGGGTGGTCGGATGTCCCAGTGGGTGTAGAGGGGTAAACGCTCAGTAGATTTAGTGGGGGCGCTGGGGCTATTTGGTTGCTCATATCAGAAAATTTGAATTACATTAAATTTAAATAAAGAAAAAACTTTTAGATTTATCTGGTCATTAACGGCCTTGAAAAGAGAGTCATCAATAGACATCAGTCAAATAGTGCAGTTTTTTTGGTGGTGGCAACCTGCTGTGGTGACCCTATGGCCTGGCCTGAACTTCTATGTCTGGTGACACACTGATGTCGTGGTACCCTGCTCATGTGCCTGGGTGGCCGAGCGGTCTAAACTGTCTCAAATGAATTAGCTGGTGGTCTGGAGTTCAATCCCCACCAAAGCCATTCCCAAGCAACCCGGGGGGATGGGACTCGTTAGCCTTGGACGGCAACCTGTCTAAGAGAAGGCAAACTCTGAGTTTAAACAAGGAGCCAGAATGATCAACAAATTGATCGTGGGCACCTCAAATATAAGAAAAAAAAAAGAAAGAAATGTAATCAACTGAGTTTTGATTTGAAATGGACTGCAGAAAACATTGTCAACTTTTACAATTTTTCTTTTGGTAGACCCCCCCTCCCCCCTGTGAGGGTGACATCCCCACTGTGAGGAAGACATCCCCAATTTTATGGTGTCATCCCCATGTAAGGGTTTCTTACGCGGCACTCCGCATCCAGTATGACGCTAATGCTTACATAACTTGTGACAATATTGAATACGCTAAATAAAATAGTTTCTGGGTGATTTTTTTATCGTATTTAGTCTAAGTTTTAGAATTGGGTGATAAAATCCATTTTAAAAAAAGTTTTAGATGCATTTGGTTTGTTTGATGAACATCTAATTCCAAGGTGAAGCCACAGCATGATAAATGAAGTGCTGCGTACAAGCTGTGTTAAGGAAATAGAAGAACAAGGTACGTGGAAGCTTGAAACAGAAAACAGGATAATAAAGGAAGAACGTTTCGGCTAAGAGCCTTCCACAGCAGACAAGGCATATGAAGAAATGACGAGAACTGGAAGGTTTTAAAGATCAACTGAAGATTTGGAAATAAAATTTGGAGTTTTGGCTTCATAGGAAAATTTCATGTTTTTAATATGCACTGTAGACAGTGGTCAAGAAGCCCTGTCTTGCAAAGAAATATATTCTTCATTTTTGACGGTGTTGATTTCAGAGTTTCTTAAGCTACATTTAACTAGACTTTGAAGAAATGGTATCACGCACCTAAGACCACCCAAAGAAAACAGTAACCCTATTTGAGCCGTATAGACGTAATTTACGAATATTAAGTTTATAAGCACTGTCCCAGTTTATAACAGCTGTAGTATAAATGGATCATGTTAATCAATTTAATATTGAATTAATTTAAGTGAAAGGATTTAAAAAAAAAAATATTTCAATTTAAATTTCACTTACAAAAGACAATGTGTCAAGGGTATGAGAATCACTGTTATGTGTAGATCATTGTTTTCATGTTTGATAGGGAAAAGATGTTTAGTTAAAGATTTTATGTGTAGCTGTGTCGTGGGGGTGAGATTGTTGGGCCGTAATTGTGTAAAGGGAAATGACGCGTTAGTTTTTGTCGTTGTTGTGATGGAAGATTGATGGCGGATATACTGGATGAACTGTTTGGATTTCTATATTGAGTAGTGTTTGGTTGGAGTGATTTGATTATCAATTCTGAAATTATACCACAGTTAATGGAGTAGTGTTAAATAAACTACTATCTAGCTACGAACCTGTTAACGTTGGTTGTATTATTAACTGTTGATATTAGCTATACCGTTCGTGGGATCAAGTGAGAGACTTGGCCAGACAAGTAGACACTCATTGCCATAAGTGGATAATTACATCACAACAGATTCAACTGTTCGACACAATGTTACATTTTATCGTGTTGTTATCTTTCATACAGAATTGTATTGTTTTATTCAACCCTGAGCTGTGTTATTTTCCATAAAGCGTTGTTATATCCTAAAAAATTGGTTTGGGGTGGAGGGCAAGAGAGTGGGGTGGGCGCTATATAAGGGTTTATGGTGCCAAGTGGGTGGTGGCCTAGGGGGCAGTGGCCAAGGGGGCAGTGGCCAAAAAGGTTTGAGAAACAACGATGTTGTGTAAGCAACCCCCCCACTCTCCGCCAACCTCAGCAAAAGTGTGGAGTCATTTGTTGACATTTGTACAAACACCTGGCACGGCGAGCACCGTAGACAGAGGAGGAGGTAACCTTTCCGGCAACTATTTTCTAATTATCTTTCAGGAAAGTGCAATCAACATTTTATTTTTACAAGAGCCAGTGTCATGGCCTGAAGACAGAACAAAAAGGAAGAGAGCAAAGCTTCATTTCAACTGCATTGTGGTGCATCTATACATTGTGGTGCATCTATACATTTTGATGCATCTATACACTGAGGTGCATCTAAACATTGTGGTGCATGCACTATGTTGCAGTTGAAAAGTTTCTTCAACTAGCTTTTGATGCACTCTTGTAACTGATTCTAACACTTACATTTGAAATATCCAGAAGATATTCAAGCAGCGTCAGACATAAAAAACCTCTAAAAAATATATCGATACAACATCATGGTGAAAATATGAATCTTTACAACCTAAAGAATTTCTCCTTTAACATCTTTTATATTTATATTTCATAAACTTGTTATTCATAATGTATAACTTTAAATAAAAAAAAAAATTAAACGATTTTGATGACACCTTTGGTTAGTTCGCCTCTTGTTCTCTATATAATTTTTTAAAAAAACAACAGCTATTTGCATTGTAAACTCTTTGAGATGTTAGGCTAGAAAACTCCAAGGATTTCTCCTAAATTCTTCCATGCCCTGTCTGGTGGGTTTGCTGGAAGATCTGCGGACCAGGTCCCATACTAACAACAACGAAAAAGTGTGTGGGGGGGGGGGAAGGCTGGCCCCGAGGTCGCGATTCTTTAAGAGTCGCCATTCAAGAGCTATTGCTCAGAAATGTTTCAACAATTCTATGGCTAAATTCAGCGCTCAATTTTGTGGGGCCCGTATATGGTTGCTTTAATGATAAATAAGCTAATGTTATTTCTTTTAAATGCATTTTATCCACCCCCATGTTATTCTAAAAAAATGTTCTGGAGAAAAGTTTTTAGCGGTTACCGGAAATTTGATCGAAAGAAATTTCGTCGACGGTAAATTGATCGACGGTAATTTGATCGAACGGAAATTTGCTCGAATCTTTTTTTCAGTTCACACATCAACATTTTCGTAAAATTTATTTTTGAACGCACTATACTATATAGTGAAACAAAATAATGCGTTCAAAAATAAATTTGAAGCAAGATTTTAACAAAAAAACTGAAAAATTGATTCGACCAAATTTCCGTTCGATCAAATTACCGTCGATCAATTTACCGTCGACGAAATTTCTTTCGATCAAATTTCCGGATACGGTTTTGAACACATGAGCTTTGCAACGGGTTAAAACTCTTACACACGCCGCAGGATTAAAATAAATAGTCACTCAAAATATGAAGACAAGTTCACTCAGGAAACCGTGCAGAGAGCGAATTGGACTCCCAACCAAGCAGATATAAATAACAGAAACAGAGACATAGTGTTAATTTATAATGAGAACATAATTTTTTTTTATTAACACACCTCATTCAAAATACGCCTCACTGTTAAAACTCTGATAATACTCAGTCAGACATCAACAGGCTGAGACGGTACAGTGTTCGCACTGTGGGTAGGCGAACATGACTCGTCCTCCCTTGATTCACACATGCATGCAAAGACCAGTTCAAATCCCTAATTCAATGTCTGAGTTTTTTTTTTGTTTTTTTTTAACCATGATGCATTTTGCCATGCATGCCACCGCCCTGACCACTCCCTCCTTTTGAAAAATATCCACCACTTCCTTTACCTCCGTGTCCGCCTCCCATTCTCCCTCCACCACCTCCACTCACACCTCCTCCCATTCTTCCGCCGCCACTGCTCCAGCTTCCGCCGCCACTGCTCCAGCTTCCACTGCCACTGCTCCAGCTTCCTCCACTACCGCTGTGGCCTCCTCCCGTTCGCATTGATTTACCACTTCCGCCACCGTAGCTTCCACCGCTCATGCCATAATTTCCACTTTTACTTCCTTGAGAGCCGCTGTAACTACCGGTGCCTTTGTTAGATCCATAATATCCTCCGTATCCACCCCCACTTCTGCTGCTTCCACCTTTGCTTGACCAAGAACTACCCCCACTCATCAATGAGCCACTTCTGCTGGAACCACTTCCGTGACCACCTCCACTCATTCCAGAACCTCCTCTACTGCCACCACCTCCGTATCCACCTCCGTGACCGCCTCCACTCATTCCGGAACCACTTCTACTGCCACCACCTCCGTATCCACCTCCGTGACCGCCTCCACTCATTCCGGAACCACTTCTACTGCCACCACCTCCGTATCCACCTCCGTGTCCACCTCCACTCATTCCAGAACCACTTCTACTGCCACCACCTCCGTATCCACCTCCGTCACCACCTCCACCCATTCCACCACCACCCCCACCACCACCCCCTCCACCTCCACCACCGCACCCACCTCCGCCCCCACCTCCACCCCCCCCTCCACTCCACCTCCGTCACCACCTCCACTACCTCCACAACCACTTCTACTGCCACCACCTCCGTGACCACCCCCACTCATTCCTGAACCACTTCTACCGCCACCCCCTCCGTGACCGCCTCCACTCATTCCAGAACCTCCTCTACTGCCACCACCTCCGTATCCACCACCGTGTCCACCTCCGTAACCGCCTCCACTTATTCCAGAACCTCCTCTACTGCCACCACCTCCGTATCCACCACCGTGTCCACCTCCGTGACCGCCTCCACTCATTCCAGAACCACTTCTACTGCCACCACCTCCGTATCCATCACCGTGTCCACCTCCGTGACCGCCTCCACTCATTCCAGAACCACTTCTACTGCCACCACCACCATGACCTCCTCCACTCGTCCATGATCCACTTCCTTTGCCACCACCTGATTTGTAGCCACCCTTATAGCCATAGCCTCCACCAGACTTGTAGCCCCCTTTGCTTGATGAGCCCATACTTCTACGATCTCGTCCAGCGTCATCCTCATCTTCACCTTCGTCACCACGCCCTTGTCTAGAGCCGCCCAGAGACTTGTGTACAGCTTGACCCTGGCCTTGATTTTGGCCACTACCACTCAGTTGTTTGTGGAAAGTTTGGGCTTGACCCTGGTTGCCTCCTTGTCTGGAGCCCCCACTTTGACCTTTGTTTTGGCCACCATTAGTGCTGCCGTCGTAACCTTGGAAGGATCCACGGTTTCCACTCTGACCTTTGTTGCTTCCACTGCCACTGCGACCATAATCCTGGGTCTGGGTGTAATCTTGTCCCTGACCTTTATTTTGATCTCCACCACCTAGAAGTTTGTGGAAGGTCTGGCCTTGACCCTGGCTGCCACTCCCCTGTCTGGAGCCGACACTCTGAGAACCCTTTGAGGAACCGCCGTAACCCTTTGAAGATCCACCACTACCACTCTGACCTTTGTAGTTTCCACTGCCACTCCGGCCATAATCTTGGTCCCCGTTGTAATCTTGACTTGTTCCCTTAGGGCCATTACCACCTTTGCTGCTATAGGAAGAAGTTCCACCATTGCCCCCCTGGCTATCTTGGTAACCACCACTACCCTTGCCGGAAGAACCCCCTCCTCCGTTGCTGGTCTGTCCTTGACCTTTGCCATTGAAGGAGTAGTCAATGAAATCGCCGCCTTGCCCTTTGCTGCCGCTGGTGCTGCCACCATAGCTTCCACCTTTGCTGCCGCTGGTGCTGCCACCATAGCTTCCGCCTTTGCTGCCACCACTGCTGCCACCATAGCTCCCGCCTTTGCTGCCACCACTGCTGCCACCATAGCTTCCGCCTTTGCTACCATCATCGCTGCCACCATAGCTGCCGCTTCTGGAGCCACCATAATCACCTCCGTCGTATCCAGAGCCACCTTTCTGGCCCTTTGAACCAGACGATTTGTCACCAGGGGACGCGCCACGCTTCGCCCTCTCAAGTTGTTGACCAGCCGCTACAAAGAGACCTGGAAAATATGTTTTGTGATTAATTATTTTGTCTTCTCATTTATACGTAGTAATATTTTATTTGAAAAGTAAGAGATGTATCTGAAATATTTGCTTCTTAAATCATTCATATTAAGTTTCTTTCTGGATTTGTGGCAAAATGTTAGAAGGCTAATTGACCCACTTCTCGTCACCTTATCGAGATTAAACTTGACACATAGACTCGTGGCTGATGACAACACATTCATTTAAATACTCAGCTCAAGTCCCCACTCCCAACCCCCAGAAATCAGTTTTTCCCTTTTTTTTTAAAAGTGGAAGATGAATGAAATATGCTTTGTTCAATGGATGCGGCTTTTGGTGTGTAGATTAATTGTGTAGCTGTTGCTATGTTCTTTGTATTTGTGACGTATTCTGGCTTAAATATATATTTAGCCTATTATGTTTTACATGCCCTAAGCTTGAACAAAACCATGCCTTTACCAAAAAAAAATCAGTTGCTACAATCACATAAATGATAAATAGCTAACAATTACATAAATGCAAACAAACTTACATATAAAGTATTATTACTTAATTTTTAGGGGTTGTTTAAATTAACTCCAAGTTCATCAAAATAAAAAAGATAAAAAAAATTCTGCTGAAAATCCCAAATGGAAAAAAACAGTCGGATAAAAAAAAACACAAAAAAAAACAAAAAAAACAAAACAAACTAACATTTAATACAATAAATGTGTTCTTTACCCTTTTAAAAGGATCCATATCTAAATCTTTAAAGATCTCGACTTAAAAAAAAAACAATTTTGCTTGCGGCCAATCAACTACACTTGCAATATATAAATTTCATGCACTCTTTTATATCCACATTTGAAGAGCCGTCTGCATGACGGTGCACTTACTTACAAATGAACTTTGGACTCAATGCTATTGCTGGTCCAACAATTTGGAACCCCCTTCCTGTCGATCTCAGAAACAACCAGACACTGGAGTCCTTTGAGACCGATTTAAAGACACATCTATTTCGCAAACACCTTCTGGGATGATTGTCTACCTTATTTTCCAGTTAATGCATAATAGGCTGTGTTGCTTAGGGTTCAAATGGCAAGAAAGACTTTGCCATTGTATGCTTGTAATTAGTTTTTGTAGTGTTGCGTTTGTTTTAAATGTGGTAAATTATAGATTTGTTTTTTGTTGACTTTGTACCGCGCTTCGAGCTTTTGGGGATGAAGCGTGTTTTTGAAAAAAACTTTATTATTATTATTATTATTATTAATGAACTATAACTAGAAACCGTATTAATTTTGAATCCTATCATCGCTTGGTAGTTAGCTTGCGAGTAACATTTGGGGCGAAGACGGTTAACAGGTCGGCATTCACGAAAACAATTAATTTATTATGCCTTGGATCTTAGTCTCTACCTGAAACCGACCAATTCGACGCTCAAACATTTGTATTCTATGGAGTCAGCCATTTAGATCTTTTGATTTAAGTGTCAATACAATTATCGTGCCATCAAAAAATATAGTAACATTTATTTTTTACGTTAGAAAAGTACATAACTTTTAAAACATTTTGTTAATTTAATCTTGGTGATGTTCCCGGAATGCACATGTCTTCTGTTTTACAAAGACAAACAAAATTAGCTGTTTCTCTTAGAATCTATTTAAAAAAAAAAACAAAAACAAAAAACCCAACTAACTCTCCTTTCAGAAATATAAATCTCAACAACATCTGCCACATTGAAAATCTGCAACATCAATTTATAAAATACCGTAAATAATAGTATCCCTTGTGTGCAACAAATCCTAGAAGCAATATTTTTTAAGAACACATTTCCAAAGGAAGAAAATGGTCACTTACATAGGCCCAAGGCCGTGAGAACCAACAGCTTCCTCATTTTTGGCCGGCTTAGAGCAGGAGATGACCACTAAAGCCGAACCTAACGGTTGGAGATCCTGTGGGACTTGGGCGTCCCAATCTTTTATATACACCCACAGACTGGACACACCCCGAATGTTCGCACAAGCGGTGATTGACGCACGAACCAAAGAAATGGAGACAAAACGAGTGTTTTTGCAGGGCTAATTGAAATAGTGGGAGACAATCCGTTTACTTAGAGTTGTGAGCTTGTCCGACACACGCCATCCGGGAGAGGGGTAAGAGAAGGGGGGGGGGACGGGCGGACAGGTATGCTGAATTAACATTTATAAAAACAAAGGGGAAGGTAGGTCACACAGACCTGGCCACATAAGAGTTGCGCAGGTTGGAGGAAATCGCGAAACCGATGGTGGAACCGACAGATTTTTCTAAGCTTTATGCCGTCCCAAGTGTTATTGTTGAAAAATTAACATTACACAAAGTTCAAATCACTGTAACATACAAATTGCGTGATGCATTTTTATTTACCGAAAATATTATAATGAATATTTTTCTCAGCTTATGACGTATAGAAAAATGGATATATTTTTATTTGCTATAAGGGAACTTGATTGTTGTTGTTACAGCTTATGACCAATATTGCATTTGAAAGCAACCACCAATCTTAGGGAGAAACAGAATCATCTGTAACTGTTTATGGATTCAGACTATTCTCTAATAACGTATTGAGACTATTCTCAAATAACGTATTCTGACTATTCTCAAATAAAATATTCAGACTATTTACAAATAACGTATTCATACTATTATAAAATGACTTTGTCAGACTATTCTCAAATAAAATATTCAGACTATTTACAAATAACGTATTCATACTATTATAAAATGACTTTTTCAGACTATTCTCAAATAACGTATTCAGACTATTCTCAAATAACGTATTCAGACTATTCTCAAATAACGTATTCAGACTATTCTCAAATAACGTATTCAGACTATTCTCAAATAACGTATTCCGACCATTCTCAAATAACGTATTCAGACTATTCTCAAATAACGTATTCATACATGTCAAAAGTGGCGCCTGGAATAACTTGCAGTGTCATGTCTCGAGGGTTGTTTTTACGTTAAAGGAATGCTTATTTTTGTGTGTGTTTTCTGTTGGGGCGCTCCTCGAAATTGTGCAGCGCCCCACGGTATAACAAGTTGTTTTTTTTACAAAAATGTTGGTCATTTACAAAAAAAAAAAAAGAAAAAAAGGAAGTTTTGATGCAATCTCTAGACTAGATGACGGAATGTCAATCAGCGTGACAATGTAAAGCAAAAAACCCGCTCTCATTAGTTAGAGTAGGCGCTTGCATTTACTTAACAGGTCAAATGAGGGCGATTCCGAAATAGCGAGCAACTCTTGACGTGGGCTCTCTACCTAATGCTAGGAGGGCAACGCGTGAAGGAGCACACAGAGATCGACAGAAAGTCAGGGTATGAATGAGACCGTTGTGGGGAGTCAATGGATGGAGCCCGTGACATCAACGGCATGACTATATTCAGGAATATGGCTGAGCTTTAATATTTGAGCAGGGGACGAATTCTGAGAAGTTTTGGGATGCCCTAGTTGATGTAATCGTGTGTTTGCTCAGACCCCATTACACTGTGGTTTTAATTTATATGCGAAAATATGTTTTTAGATTTTTCAGAGATGGCGCGTCAAACCTTGAAGTATGATCATTTATTTGCACTAAGTTTTTGACCGTTTTTACAATGTACGTTACCTTGTATACTATTTAATAAAAGATTTGAAGCCAGTTATGTGTATATAATAAATTCCAATGATGGGATTAAACTACCGTGTCGCTCACCAAATTACCGCTAAAGGTTTTTAAAACAAAAAGATATAGCGAAAGTAAGTTTATTATTTCATGTAGTAACTATATCGTTAAGAACAATAACAAAGTTACACACAGCTACATTATTTTATTCAAAAGAGTTTTAAATTTTATTGAAAAGTTATTTAGCAATACAGGGCGTAATTATTTTAAGCAAACGGTTCACCGAGCTTAACAACAACAAAAAATTTTTTTGGTTGAACCGAACCGGTGCTAGCCGCCTGAATCCCACTCAGCGGTGAGTTGGAACCGGTTCGTGGTCCTGTTCGAGTGAACCGATTGGTAAACTTGAACCATTGTACCTAACATGGTTATTTAAAATGTCAAAACAATTTTACAAAATCCCCCCAAAACTCAAAGAAATAGATAAAGTAAGGTTACGAATTCAATCATTTACAAACTTGTAATTGAAGTTGTCTATGTCTCGGTAATTATTATGACGTTATTAGCTGTACGCATTGCGTGTACAGAACACATAGTCCCTGCTAGCAAAAGCGATGGATTGGCTTAATTTTCGGCTCCCTTCTATAACCGACAAGTCCCCTACCAATTGTTTGCTTGAATGGCAGCACGCCGCTGATGCGCTCACAGATACATTCTACAGAGGACAAAATAAACGGTTGCCTGTGATAGAAGTGTCAGTGGTGGGGCAGACCAGTATCCTACCCATATCACCACAGGAAGTCTATTACAGTTTATGTTTTGTACTTCCAGTTCATTTAATAAACAAAAATTAGGAACGTTTTACAAGTTAAGAACAGCATTAAATAATAACAGACGAGTTTTCTACAACTAGAACAAAGGCAGTGGCGTCTAAATATGGGGAGGGGGAAAGAAGCCTCTGCTTCCAATCTGAGCTGGGAGGTTAAAATAGCCCCTCTCCCATTAGCCTGCTTTTGAAATTCTCAACATAATAAAATTAATCATATGTAAATGGGAAAAATACAAATAAATTATCAATTTTTTTTTATTAAATAAAAATGTGGGGTGGGATACTAACTGAAAGGTATGCATGCTCAGACTGTTAGCACTTTTTCCATTGTCATTTTTCGACATGCGCATAAAGGTTCGCGGATGATTTTCATATCATCTATATAACTGTTAGCATTATTTTTATTAAATAAAAATGTGGGGTGGGGTGGGGGGGGGGGTGTTTTTTTCTTTTAAATAATATTTTTTTAGAATAACTAATTGTTAATTCTGCTCGTTAGAGTTATCCAAGGAATTTAACTCCAGTCAACAAGTTTTAGGATGACACATTTTTTATCACACAGTTATGAGGCCACCCTCGCCAATTTAATCAATTTCATCATCATCATCAGTGGGGTTACAGCCCATGTAGGGCCCTGGCCTGCTCCAACACATCTTTCCATTTAGAGCGATCCATGGCTTTCCGCCTCCATGCGCGAACCCACAACTGGTGTAAATCCGTCTCCACATTATCAATCCATCTCAGCCTTCGGCGACCGGTGAGTCGTCTGCCCCTAGGCTTCTGCCTGTATATAACTTTTGCTGCTCTGCATTCCGGCATCCTTTCAACATTTCCTGGCCAGCGTAGTCTGCAATTTAATCAATTTATAGAAATGAAACTAAAAGAATTATCTAACGCCTACTTAAACATCACTTTTTAAAAAAAAAATTCGATGGATTTGATTTGTTTGCATATGGGAAGAAGAACTGAGCTCCTGGGGAAATCGTCTGCTTTTCTTATCAATCGCAATACTGAATGGTCAACAATGTTCTAACTGAATGTTAATATTGTAACTGAATGCTAACACTGAAAGTTGCAGCTGAATTTTCTAACTGAATGTTGTAACTGAATGTTCTGACTGAATGTTTTGACTGAATGTTCTGACTGAATGTTCTGACTGAATGTTCTGACTGAATGTTCTAACTGAATCTTCTAACAATTTTTAAATTATACAATTTTGTGTTGCTAGTATTCATAGTAAAATGTCGAAATAAAGACAAATACTATGACAGAGAGAATTGACCAAAGACTTGTTGGCTTCCACCCCCCCCCGGCCCCCCCTTCTGATGGGGTGATGGACATTTGATAAGAAATAAAAACAATTGATATTGCGATTTCCAATGACACTGAGGTTCTCTTCCACACATGGACACCGATCACTAGGTCATTTTATTATGCTAATGTCATGGGATGGCCAACCCTTTTTTTCGCGAGCCCCACGTGAGCCCCATGTGACCCAGTTCATTGAACAATGAGACTCACAAGACAGAGTTTGGATAATAAATAAACTTCTTTTTTTTTTTTTTCGTGCTCAATTAATGTGAGCATCTTTTCATTCTTTATTTTTTCAAATTTGAAAGTCATCAATTTTACTTTTTAAATTTAACAACCCATAAAAACAAAGTTTTTGGAAAAAATCTTTTTGTAACATGTAATTCCGAGCAAATGGGGCTGGGGGGGGGGG